CAACACCTGGAACCATCAGTAGGAAATTAAAGTTGCATTAATGAGCTGTCTTCATCAAAAGTAAGAGGCACAATAATTAATTAGTTTTTATTTTTTACATGAAGTTAACTGGTTCCCTTTGGGATTCAGCTAAAACTTTGACTGTTAATATATTTCACTTAACTCACTGAAGTCTCTACTCCAATTTATAATGCCTAGAAAGCATCTTTCCTTCACTTTACTCTCATTTCCTTGCAGTGAATGCAATATAAATTTGGGGTGGGGAGTAAGGAAGGGAATAAGAGGATGTGAATAGCTTATAAGCTTGACTAAGAATGAGAAATGGGCTTTGCAGATTATTACAATGGTCCTCTCATTCTTTGCAACCTGAGTTCCACAGTGCTGAGAAGCACCTTGTGAAGAAGAGACAATTTCTAGCTAAGCTTAACTGTGAGGAGCCCCAGTGGCTAACAAAGCTGTGCTCTTCATGCCACCTCTTTAATAGGTGAAGATCTGAAAATTTGATCCTTTTCAGGACAATTCATTTATGAAGTACCAGTACCAACTATGAATGAACATGTTGCCTAACATCTAAAAGCAGGCAAGTATGGTGACTCCTCTCCCCAAGCTTCTCCCTCCCCATGGGCATCCTCCAGTTCCAGCTCTCCCTCTCTGGCTTCATCTGGGCCTCTGTTTCCCTTTTATCCTCCCCCACCGTGTGGCTTGGTGTCAAGTAGTCCTGCTCTTTGTTTGATGCAGGCTGTGCAAAATGGAAAAACACTGAGAAGAGAGTAGATGGAAAAATCTAGAAATATCCTTCATAAAGAATCAAACAGGGAAGCAAAAAAAGGGGGGATTTTAAGCAGGACAAAGAGAAAAATAGTAGAAATAGAACTCAGTGGAGAAAAGAGTGATGTCTGAGTTTATGTGAATCTTGGGCTCCATGTTTTATGATTTCTGCACTGCTGTAATTCAAAATATTCTCGGAGCTGGGCAGAGTGAAACAAACTTGTAATCTCAGCAATTCAGGAGGCTGAGGCAGGAGGATCACAAGTTCAAGGCCAGCCTCAGCAACTTAGTGAGGTCCTAAGCAACTTAGGGAGACCCTGTCTCAAAATCCACATTACAAAAAAAAAAAAAAGAATCTCAGGAACAGGACTAGGAATGTACTCAGTAGTAGAGTACTTGCCACTTGCCTAGCAGGAATGAGGTTATGGCTTGGATCCCCAGCACTGGGAGGAAAAAAAATATCTCAGAAGCTCTGTTTGTTTCCCTTTGGTGCTATGCTGTATGGTAACAGCAGCGGACATTGACATATGTGTGTCTTAGA